GTCATTTCATAATGATTTGGGAGAATCAATGATGTATAGTCGAGGCTTGATATTGGCCCACCAGTCACATTGCCAAGGGCTACGTCTAAAGATTGAGTATTGAGCTGCGTCTCGTTCGCGTCTTCGGTACTTGCCAGAAGGTGGGACGAGCATGGGAGCATTCTCCACGTATTTATTACTTTTTCCTGTCAAGATTTGAAGCCCTTGCCGGGCGCTCCCCATATCTCATGCTGCAAGCAAATCCTCTATAAAATCCACCCCTTTTTTGGTTCAGCTTTATTGCCTGTAGCCATTCCGACATGGAGGGAAATCCTTGAGATACGCGCATTTGTTAAGCTTGAATGGTGTCTAGAGTTCCCGCTGTACTGTCACAAGAAGGAGTCTGCCGCAACTTGGAGTGGCCTATTAGCATTACTCTCCCATCAAGTTTTGCTACGTCAGCTAGGCTCTCTATTAGCTGTCCCTTTGATGAAAAGCATAATTGCAAAAAGGATGAAAAAAATGAGTTGATTTCCACATAATTTTGTCCTTGAGTTGGGTTCTGTGAGCTCATTGTGGGCCATTAGCAATTGAAGATGTTCCGGCATTGCTTAGTTACATCAGAAACAAAATGAACTAAAGTTTTTCTATTTGTAGGTATCGGGTTTCTTTTTACACGACCAGTATAGACCCTCACCTCAAGTCACCTGCTTACGTTTCAGTGTCTGTCAGACACCTTACTGAGCTCAAAGCTTCTGACTGGAGTACTGCTTCTCGCTGCTGTATGTACATGTAGCCAATGTAGGTTGCATTTTTGCATTGAGAACATAATCCCAAACATGGCTATGTTTGTATCCCCCCTCGCCCCAGTTCATCACTGGGTTTGACTTTATTCTTGATCCACTTGATGCATAAGCAGGTGAAAGTCTATACTGGTGGGGCCTAGGAAAAAAATGTTGTGTTTCTTGTTTTAGTCCTGAAAAAATTGGGGTCGGTAGGTAGGGATTATCTTTTTTCTCTCTCTTTTTTCATCAGACTCTAGTGATCCAACTTATACATACAATACAGTTTAACAAAGTGAATGAGGACACTTATATTTTCAATGTCAATGTTGGGAAATCGATTGTACAACATTTCACCATTCAGGTGTCAGATCATGGAGAAATGGTTGTTCAGTGCGAAAAATTTATGTCCCTTGCAGGAGTCCACCCAAGAAAAGGCTAGGGTCGGTCGGGAAACACAACAGTTTTTTTCCTAGGCCTGGTCAGTTGTAAAAAGAAACCCTAATATCCTATTTTTTACCAACCAGATGAAACTATTGTGGGTAAATCATTCTATATTGTGTGTTTTTCCCACAGGGACGGCAGCTACAGCAACATGACTTCACCTCTCAGATCTTCTCGCTGGGCTACTGTCCCACTGGAGAGTGGCTGGCAGTCGGGTCAGTATACACACACATCTTCACATCTCCATTCTAGTACCTCTTCATGCTTAAGAACAAATGAGCCGTGAATCGTGCACCCAAATTCTCTCTTTGGTAACAGAACATGCTGAACTGAACTGTGTTATTAGTGGATTGAAAAGGGAGCAGCTTGTAAGGATCTTCACTCCCTGCGGTGGCTAAATCAGTTTTACTGAAGACTTTTGGCAAACTTTCAAGTAAGCAAAAAAAGGAACAATATTCTGGAAAGAGACTGGGAAAATATAGCGAAACAACTAGTGATTTTTGTAAAATTTAGAACTTTTTGTACTAGAACATAATTGGTAGATTGGAAGGAAGATTGGTACTTGTATTTGAATTGAATTAGCGAATGGAGTTAAAGGCATCCAATGCAACTTCAGGATGGCAAAACAGCAAAAAAATTCTGAATGAGGAAATTTGTCAGATTTTGACATTTACTGCCATTTCTAAAGCGTTTGAAATAGCCCCAAAACCAAGCTTCGTGAGGCATCTCTTTATTTTTTGGTACCACTTATAAATAGCTAGAACCAGCCTACGATACAAAGCATTTTCTGCTGCCAGCAGCATCTCATTTTTGCCTCACAGATGCTGACATCTAGAATGACAAGACAATTGTATCCAAGTAGTAAGCTTTGGGTCTTGGCTGGCTTCCAAATCCAAAATTACTGTAATTTTGTATTGTGGAGAAGACTGGAACAGTTGGGGCAAGCTTTAAGCAACTCCTGCAATTAAATGTGTAAAGATTGAGTGTAACAAGTCGTTTGGTGTGATATAGCTAGCTGCCGCCGCCCCACGTGACTGCAAAGCTGGTGTGTTATGCCGAATGGCGGTTATACCGGCTATCCTGACACAGATACAGATACTGAAGATTCCGTCTGCTCAACCTGTATTGTCTATCCACAGCATGGAGAGCAGTAACGTGGAGGTTCTCCACCACACCAAGCCAGACAAGTACCAGCTGCACCTGCACGAAAGCTGCGTCTTGTCACTCAAGTTCGCATACTGCGGTAAGACCCCCTCTACCCTCTCCTACCCCTGTCCGCATGCCAACATGTCTGCAAGCCAAGCACTACAGGAAAGAACTAGTTGTGTAGCGATGAGAGGACAGATTACAATCAGACACAGGATCATCTGTTCCGAGCACTTGTCCTACAACAGCATGTTTTATGGATGATGCCAAAGTCCTGTGTCTAGGTACCTGGTATTCATTAAAGAGCAGCAGATTTATTGAGTAATTGCCTAAAAGTTCAGAAAGATCACCTGTCAGCAGGCTTAGTGCTGATTATGCCAGCATTACTTTGTCTCCGTGTTCGCATTTGCATTGCCCGGGACATTAGTTCGCAGCAGCATTAAAATTTATTACCCCTGGCCATTGCCTGATCATGTAGCTATAAAGGATAATGAGGTCCCCAGACAGTTGCCCCCATGCACTATTCATGACACTTAATTTGGATGTGTGTTCATCTCTACAGGCAAATGGTTTGTTAGTACTGGGAAGGACAACCTGCTGAAT